AACCCTGGGGGCCCCTTGGCTCCTCCTTGTGGCCTCCCCAGGGTCCCCCCTCCCCCTTTGGGAAGCGGTGAGCTGAAAAGAGACAACATCTGGGTCTCCCCAGGGCCCCAGAAAACAGCCACCCCTCCCCCAAGTGCTGGCGTCACTCTGAGCAGGAGCATTTGAGTACCTGCCATCCTTTGCGGCAGGTCCCAGGGTCCCAAGCTGGGCACCTCTTACCCCAAGGGATTTCATGCAAGAAAGTGCCTCAGGGGCCTGACCTTCCGAGACCTCTGGCCCAAGCCACAACTGTCCCAGTTAAGTGGGTGGCCCGTCAGCTCCTCAGAGGTCTTTGCCGTATCAGCCACCAGACCCACAGGGCCGCCTCAGCCCCAGACTGAAACACATTCCCCCCTGAGCCTGGGGAAGGGTAGATGCCACCAAAAGTCTGTGGGACAAGTGACCGCAGAGGGGCAGAAGGCTGCGCCTTTCATTGGACAGGGGACCAGGGGCCCTGGGCTCAGGCAGAGGAAGGCTGGCTTCCAGCCAGGGCCCTGTCCCCAGCACGTGAATGCCACTGTGCCCCCACAGGTGCCCAGCCTGCTCCTCTCTGTGAGGACACTCAGAGGTCAGGCCACAGGCACTCTTGGGAGCATCCGGGTCTCCCTGGGCCTGCAGAAAAGGAACAAATGTTGACTGATTTACATATTGAGTTCTTTGCATTTCACGCCCAGACTCTGGCCTTGACCTTCTCCTCCCTGCTCCTTCCCACCTAGGCAAGGCTCGTATGGTCTACTCTCTGAGAAGCAGAGCAATTACACGTTGGCCAGCAAAGCTGGGATCTGAGGACTGAGGGCCAGTGAGCACGGTGAGCGGTCCGAGGTCATGTAGCCAGCTAGGGCCAGAGCGGGACCTCACCCCTGCCCCTGAGAACCCAGCCAGGGCTCTTTCCCTACACGTGCAGCCTGCCTCAGACCCTTAGACAGACCACAAGGGGGTTCAGGAGGCTCTCTCAGGCTCTCCCAGGCCTGGGGCAGGACCCGAGGCTCTGAGCCTGAGCCCGTCTGTGAGGGAGCAAGGAGGGAGGCACTTACCCCCCACCCAGAGCCAGCACAGTGGAGAAGGGGGGAGGGGGGTAGAGCGAAGGGGTGTGCCGGAGCTGGGTGGAGGGCAGGGACTGGGAGGGTGGGCACTGGGTGTGGGTCCTGCTCTCCTTGGCACACCTGGGCCACCCCAGTGAGCCCCAGGGAGGCCAAGCTGGTGTCCTCCCAGAGCTAGGCCGAGCCAGTGCCCCATTGCCCTCTGCCAGGACCGAGCTGAGAGCCTGCCGCACTCGAGGACCAGGAGAGTCACCCTCCCACGGGCTCTCCTGCGCTTTCCTTTCCTTCTCAGACTCAGGGGAATTCTATCTGCCTTTCCGGGGGCCCTGCACTGACCTTGTTGGTTTCTGGGGTTTCCTCTCTGTCACAATGATCCTGCGGTGGGATACGGCAGCAGCAAGGACCCTCCCCCGCCCCCTGCCCCTCCCCCCACTGGCCCTGCCCTGCCAGAGCTCCCACCACTGCACCCCCCCACCAGGCACAGGACCACCTGGAATAATGCCTGTGGGTCATTTCAGAGGGTGGGCACTCTGTGTAGCATAAAGTCCCTCCGGCGGGGGGGGGGGAACCTCTCTGGGCAGAGGCCCCCAGTGTCTCCTGGGGGAACTTGGCGGACTTCACCTTCTACTTGCCTTTGGTCTGCAACCTGAGGCCAGGCCTGATCCCAGCTAGACTCCCAGTCCACCGGAGGCAGCCTCAGGGCCGCAGCCTCCTCTCACCACCCCTAGTCAGATCCACAAACTGATGGCAAGAGGTGTGAGTTTGCCCACCCAGGCAGCTTTGTGGGAGGGCAAAGCTGAGCACGGAATCTGGGAGCCCTGGGGCCTTATGGGGCTCCAGCAACCATGGTCAGGGACCTGCCGATGACTGGTCTTAACTTGGGGGCCTTGGGGAGAGCCCCAAAACCAGATTTTGCTTGCTGAGCAAAGGGTATATTCCAGCATCTTCTTTGCCCACAATCAGGGTCTTGGCCCCAGAAGCAGGTACCACCCAGGAGGACTCAGGCTGCTCATCACCCAGCCCAGCCTCCTGAGATGCCAGTTGGCACCAAGGGCCCATCCCAGGGCATGACACTGTCATATGCAGCAAGGAGCCCTCCCCTTTGCTAAAATTGTGAAAGTTAAAGTTCCAGCTGTGAGGGCGCCTGGGTGGCGAAGTCGGGTTATGCGCCGGACTCTTGGTTTCTGCTCAGGTCGTGATCTCAGGGTCCTGGGATTCATCCCCGCGTAGGTCAGGGCTCTGCACTCAGCGTGGAGTCAGCTTGAGATTCTCTTTCCTTCTCCCTCTGCCCCTTCCTCTCATGCTCGCTCTCTCTAAAATAAAATAAATATATATTTTTAAAAGATTTTATTTTATTTATTTGACAGAGAGAGACAGCGAGAGAGGGAACACAAGCAGGGGGAGTGGGAGAGGGAGAAGCAGGCTCCCCGCGGAGCAAGGAGCCCGATGCGGGGCTCGATCCCAGGACCCTGGGTTCATGCCCTGAGCCGAAGGCAGTAGCTTAACCGGCTGAGCCAGCCAGGCGCCCCAATAAATAAATCTTTTAGAAAAATAAAATGAAGTTCCAGCTGTGCCACACAAAGGACCAGCCTTTGAGAGAGATGCAGCCGCAGGGGGCACTAACAATAAGTCCTCACAGGGTCAGGTGGCACAGAACACACTACTGCTTCGAAGAAACACTGCGACCTGGATGTGGAGCCCGGTGCGAAGGATGAAGAGTATTCTAGAAACAGTGTCATGTTTGGAATGCTGGGAGAAGCTGGTGTGGCTTAGCCCAGTGTGGATGACACTTTGGTGAACATTCAGTGCTATTTCATCATTCATTCCGAGGACACATTCACTGAAAACTGCTATGCTCCTGGGAGCCCGGGACCCTGCCTTCACAGAACACGTGGACAGACAGACAAGGACCATGGAGATGAACATTAAGGCAGATTTCAATTCTATATAAGACAGAACACACTGGGACGCCTGGGTGGCTCAGTCAGTTAAGCGTCTACCTTGGGCTCAGGTCATGATCTCAGGGTCCTGGGATCGAGCCCCGCATTGGGCTCCCTGCTCCGCGGGGAGCCTGCTTCTCCCTCTGACCCTTCCCCCTCTCGTGTGCGCTCTCTCTCTCTCATTCTCACTCTCTCTGACAAATAAATAGGTAGTTTTAGGTAGTTGCAGTGACAGAGATGACCACCAAGATCCCTTCTTACTCCAAGATTTGGCCATTTTATCAGTGTATGGATTACAGAGTGTCTCCTGCTTTTGAGTGTCCGTTTCCCCATCTCCCTTCTCCAGATTCCTCGGGGCCTGTCCCCAGTGTGAAAAGAGAATCTTAAAACCAAACAGTCTATCCACTGATGTAGTATTTCAGCACACTGGGCAAGGATGACCATTGTCCTCTTACTCACAAGATTCATTCTTTCTTTTTTCTTTTAAGATTTTATTTTTAAGTAATCTCTACACCCAATGTGGGACTCAAACTTACAACTCTGAGATCAAGAGTTGCACACTCTACCCACCAAGCCAGCCAAGCGCCCCTGATCAGGAACTTCAGGTTCTAGAACCTTATAGTCTATAGAAGAGTGGTTTTTCTAATTGGGGGGCTGGAATCCTGTCCCACTGAACAAAGATGGGTGAGTGGGCTGGGGCTGAGGGGGACTCTAAGGCTGGAAATCATTTTCTGGTGCTGGGTAGTAAGAGCAGGGCCCGGGAAGGCAGCTTGGGCATGAGTGCCCCGTGACTCAGGGACAGACCCCAGGGAGCCAGGAATCTAGGAGCTGCAGGAGGAGGGATGGGAGTCACGGGGAAGCTGGTGGGGAGGGCTGGGAGCCAAGCAGACTTTCTTCTCCTTCAGCCTGGTGGAGGTGGTGCTGCATGCAAAGGCCTCCCAGACCAGGATTATCCCTCAGATGCAGGCTTAAATCATACCCTCTGAAATTAGACCAATTAGAGAGTCACTAGGGTGGCAAACTTCTCGCTAAAAGCCCCACTTAAAAAGTATCCCATAGGGAACCTGCCCTATCCGATATTAAAGTTTGCTCAAAGGCTGTAATTAGCAGGGATAGTGGCCTGAGAAGCCAGGACAGTTCAAGGGGTCAGAGCAGACGCCTCAGAAGCTCCAGTGGGGGTGTGCCAGAGCCCGGGGCGCACTAATCAGGCTCTGGAGACCTGTCCTTGCAGCAGGAAGGCAGCCCCTGGGCCCCAAGTTTGGATGCCAAGCTCCCTCGGAGGGCTAGAGCCTGAAGCCCGCTTGGAACAGAAAGCCCCGGCATTTCCAGGGATGCAGCTCATCCATTTCCCACCCCTGGGCCATCCGTCCCATGAGTCACCCTGTGATCCCTCCATGGCCAAATATAGCTCCCACGGCAAATGAGGGTGCTGCAATGTCCGGAGGGGCCAGGGAGGGGCCAGGGTGGTGGCCGGGACAAGGGGACCCGGCAGCCCGCCAGGCAGCCCACCTCTGGCCCCTTCAGACCTGAGAGGTGTCCGCCCGAACGTCAGATCTCAGGGCCACGTTCCCAAAACCGCAGGGAAGTCGGGGAGAGGGAGGGTCTGGCCGGCAGGCATGCCCACTTCCTTCTAGGGGAACGAGGGACACGCTCCGGGCACAAACAGGGCAGGGGGGCTTCCCTCTTGGTCTTGTCCCCCAGATGGGGCCGAGGTCGCGGCGCGCGCAGCGGGCCTGCCCGACAGCCAGGGTGGCCGCGAGGCCCCGGGCGTGTCCGCCGTCCCCAGCAGCCCCCCGGGCGCCGCCCCGGCCCCGCGGAGCCACCACATAAGGAAGTGTTTGCGCGGCCCGCTCGCTCCCGCCCGCCGCCTCCCGGACGGACCGGGCAGGGGCGGGCGCCGCCGGGAGGAGCCGCCCGCGGGCAAGGGAGGCGGAGCGGGAGGGCGGCGAGGGGGCGGGCGGGGGCCGGGCGCGCGCGGGGCGGGATGGGGGGGGGGCCTGCGGCCCGAGGGGGTCGCCCTGCCTGGCTGGGTGGGGCCGGCCGGAAACCTTCTCCCGCCCCAGCGCCCTGCGGACTACAGGGACCAGGCCTGCCCTGCGGGGGACCGGGGGGGGGGGGCGGACAGGACACGTCTGGGGCCACCGGGACCCTGGCTTTACCATGTCAGACCCTGGGGTCTGTGACCTGGGCCGCGAGGGGGCGGCCTGGAGGGATGGTCTCCCTGAAGAAATCCCTCTGGCCCTTTCTAAGGGGCACACTCAGGCCAGTTGTCCCTCTCCAGGAGCCCAGAGCAATGTCGTATTTCTCTGCATGGTGACCGAGGCTTCCTGACTCCCAGTCACTCCTTAGAGGAGAAACATTTTTATAACCGGCCTGCTGGCAGGCAAGGTCAGGCTTACGTGGACGGCCTCCCTTCTGGAGTTTTCCATTTAATTATTTACACAGGCCCCGAACAAGCCCACAGACCTCTGCAGGAAGTCACAAGGCGGCATTTATTCTTCTGCAAACGGTCTCATTTCTCCAGGGACCCTTCCTCTCTTAAATGTGACCCTTGGAGGTAAGAAGCTGCCTAAGGGTGGTGCCTTCTAGGTCTCTGTGGTTTACTCTTGGGAGCTAGAGAAATTCCCCACCAGGTGTTTCCCGGGCATGGACTCCACCCCAGCACAGCATTCAGAGGGGGCAGTTCTGGCCCTCTGCTCAGGAGCTGGGAGGCCGGGGAGCTGGAGTCTGGAGCATACTCCAAGAAAGGGCCGTTGAGGGAGAATGATGTCACCCAGATCCTTGGCTTTGGGAAAAGTGTGAAATGCAGAGCAGTGATCCAGTACAACGTGCCTGTTCAGCAGGAAGAGGGGTGGGACCACCTCACCTACTTCCAGGTTACACAGATTTGATTGAGATCAGGTCTCAGGCTTGGTTTCCTAGGAGGTTCCAGCCTGTGGCCCTGCTGGTGGATTAAAGTGGTGGTGTGTCAACCTTGTCTGACTGATACTGGCACAATGACCATTTATCCCCAAGGCCCCGCCTCCCAGGCAGGCAGGGCTGCCCAGAAGTGGCTGCCAAGAGGGCTCAGCAGGATCGCCCCATCCTTAAAGGCAACCTGGGCGCCCTCCATGCCCACAGCCCCCTTCTGGGGAAGGTCCCTACTTGGGTATAAATGAAGTGCCTGGTGCTCCTGATCATGCGCTCGGTTCTCTCCACCCCCAGTAGCAAGGACTATGGACCATGACCAGGACTGGGACAACTGTGGAATGCATGTGGGAGAGGGAGGCTGGGTTTGACAAGGTCGCTCCCTATGGGGGCGGGTGGTTGTGCACCCATCCAGTCTGCACCTCCACAGCTCCCTAGAGTTTTTTTCTCCCCCAAAGATGATCTCTACACGCAACATGGGGCTCAAAACCACAACCCAGAAATCGAGTGTTGAGCTCTACCAATAGAGCCAGCCAGGCATTCCCTCCCTACACTTTTAATTCAGGATGCACAGGGACAGCCCAGCGGACTGTAATCCACACTGCATAGACTTTCAGCATCATATCAGGTGTGAAGAAGCTATTTGCTCTTGGACCCTGGTATCCTGTGATTTGGGTTTTTAAGTTCCTCGAGGCAGGAATTGTATCTGGCTGCTGCAGAGGTGGTGAAGTTTTCCCTTCTTCCCTTCTAGGTTCTTTGGCTGGCCTAATAATTAAAGTGATACAAGACAGATTAACAAGAGAAAAACGAACGAAAGTATACACAAGTAACTAAGTCTCCCAAATGGCCAAAGCCATCACCTTAAATACCATTTTCAGTTAAAGACAAAAGATGCTGGCGATAGGGAGCCAATTACAGGAGGTTACCAGCAAAGCACAGTAAACAAGTGTAAGGTTGTTGTGTAGATTTAAATTGTTGTCTTCTCCATTGATAAGAGTTTCCAGAGATTTAGAGTCATCCTCCTCTTCCTGGTACAGTGAGGGAGACCCTTACAAATGGAGATTTCCCTTATAAATGTAAATGTCTCTTACAAAAGGGTAACTTCTACTCTGTTTTCATAGCTTCACCTGTGTCTACTGTTTCCCAAAAATAACCAGCCGAAAATAATCAGTATGCTAAAGAGGCCTATTTCGGGGTAGTATATTTTGCTCCCTTTCACTGCTATATGCCTAGCCTTAACACAAACCTAACACAGCATATGCTCAAAAGTGTCTTTTGGGTGGCAGAATAAAAAAAAACTTCAGATCGCAAAGATCTGGCCCTCATAAAGGTAAATTTTACATGTTTCATGGAAAAGCCTGTCCTATGAAGTGGCCCCATTCTCCATCATGAGACACATTCATATGTGGGTACAACGATAACATATTGTAGAGGGATTCTAATGGAAATGTAGAGATACGTTAGTGGTGATGTACTTATTTATTTTTAAGATTTTATTTATTTGAGAGAAAGAGCATGAGTGGGGGGTGGGGGGGTGGCGGGGCAGAGGGAGAGAGACAGAGAAGCAGGCTCCCCGCTGAGCAGGGAGCCCCATGTGGGGCTCAATCCTAGGACTCTGAGATCATGACCTGAGCCAAAGGCAGACACGCTTAACCAACTGAGCCACCCAGGTGCCCCAGAGGTGATGTATTTTTATGCCTTTAAAATGCACCTATGAATAGCGAGCATAACAAGAAAATATTTGTAACTATATGAAAGGGACACCAAGAGGTGGTTCTTTGAAAACAGGACAAGGAAGGCAGGACTAGGGAACTTCCAGTCAGTCCGGCAGAAATGCTAACATCCCATGTTTACTGAATACTTACTCCCTGCCTGCAGTATTCCGAAGGGAGTATCTCCCTCCGTCTCCACTGACAGAGGTGCTTGCCCAGGCACCCAGCCAGGTCAGAGCAGGGGCCTGAGTCTTTGTCTCTCCACTGGGGAGAGGAGTGTGCTCAACACAGAAGAGCTGGAAACAGCAGGAAGTGTAAACAGTTGGGGAGACCACAGTCCCCCATCCTGCTTTTCTACCCCATTCCCTCCCTGGAGAGGCCACTTCCCTGCTGAGCCTGTTCCCTCACTCTCTTGTCCCCTGTGCCCCACAAATAGGCCTCTTTCCCACACACCCTCCTATCACCAGTTTCTTCTGCTTCAACCGATCCTCTCAAATATGAATTTGGTGGCATCTCCTGTTTAATGCCCCCTAAAACAAAGTTCTCAGGCCTGATTAGAAACTGGGGCTTGACGCCTGATTCTCTCTGTAGCCAGGGCCTGGCCTTCGTTCATGGCTTCCTCCAGGAAGCTTTTTTTAATCTTGCGAGGCAGGGGCCTCCTTCCCAGCTTCATCGTGTTGCCCTTTACTGCCCATTTCTTTGTCTGTTTCACCGGCTGCCGGTCACTGTCACTACGTGACCCCATTGCAAAGTGGGGGCCACGGCAGAAGCCCAATGAGCTGGGATGAAAGATTAAAAATAGCATAGAGTAGCAGGCAGGTGGTGATGCTTTGCATGTAAACTCGGCAAAGGCAAAAGAATCCAAAACAATCCAGACACGTGATAGTTTTCACAGGTGCTCCAGACTGCGGGAGGCTGAGCTTGCACTCGTGGGTCTACACACACCTCAGGGCACACATAGGATGGTGCATACACCAGATTCATGAATCCGTGCACCTGTGCACATCTCAGGTTCGTGTAAACACGAGTCCTTACACACACGGACCTGTGTAGGCAGCCAGTCGGTGCGAACAGAATCGTGCGCATACGCGGGTGGAAACATCTCAAGATGATGCACACAGAGGACACGGGGAAACCCACCGGTTCGTGCATGTCGGATGGTGCAAACACAAGTTTGGGCATACTGGGTCGTGTGCACTATCCCGAGATTGTGCACACATGGTAAGGTGCACACCCCAGGGTTGTGCACACAGGAGGCCGTGCATGCCCCCCTCCACCCCGGGGCCAGCTCGCCGGCCCACTCGGAAGAGGTAGAGGAGCCCATTTCTCCCCAAATTCGGGCACAGCTTCAGCGTCCGGGCGCCATCTTCGCCCCACGAGCAGCGGAAAGATCAGCAGGCCGCGCAGACCTTACGCTCGGGCCTTTGTTGTCCCGGCTTCCGGGCGTCCATCATGCGGAGGCCCTGCGCGCCGGAGCACGAAATGGCGGTTGGGGGCGGGGCGGGACGGGGCGACCAGTAGCAGCGCCCGCTCCCGACTCCCGGCAGGGCGCGCCGTCCCGCCCTCTTGCGCAGGCGCACGGCACGGCGCGCGTTCCCGCGTCCCCTCCGACGCGCGCCGGGACACAAAGGGCTGGAGGGAAAGCACGGAGCGCGGCCGGCATCTTCGGAGCGGCTAGTGGTCCAGAGCGGCCTGGAGCGGACTACCGGGGCCGGAGCCGGGCTCACCGGAACAGCGCTCTCGGGCGCCGGGTGGGGCGTTGTGCGGCTCTCCTTCTCCTCCCCTCGCCCTGCCTCAACGGTCGCAACGGCCTCGCCGGCCGAGCGGGCGCGCAGAGCGCAGGCGCCGAGCTCGCGGCCTCCGCGGGGAGGGCTGGGCGCCTCCATTTTCCCTCGCGCGCCCTAATGGCGGAACTGGGTGCTTCTCTCCCCGTGCGGAGGGAGCGACTCTCCGCCGGCAAAGCCCGAGGCCTTCTTTCCACAAATTCTTTTCTCGGTCCGCGCGCTTCAGCGCGGGAGCTGCCTATGTAGCTCTTTGTAAAGTTTTGGAATGTGATATAAAAAAAGAAAAGACACCTCCGCAAATTACTACAATAGTTTGCAACTTGCTACTTCAAACGGGGAATGTGGGCTTGGGGAAGGAGTGAGAACACTGAGGCAGAAAAGGTAAATCTTCTTCTGTTAAGGGGTGTTTGTTAAAAGCAATAATAAATACAACTTCAGAATAAAGTATTTTTCATAATACAAATAATACATGTTCTTAGGAAATTTCGAAAGGAATCATGATCGCTGGCGTTCACTGAATAGTTACATGCCAGGCCCCGTTTTAAGTGCTATAATTTTCCTAACCAGGCACAGATGGAGAAATAAGCACAGGGAGGTTAAGTACACAAAAGTACTTAAAGGAAAACAGAAAAGTAGTAAACCCACCTTCCAAGACAACCGCTGTTTAATAAACCGGTGTGGTTCCCGCCGGTGTTTTCTCTGCCTGAAGTTTGGTTCGGGGGTGGCTGGGTGGCTCAGCTGGTTAAGCGGCTGACTTTTGCTCAGGTCATGATCCCGGTGTCCTGGGATCAAGCCCCCTTGGGGCTCCCTGCTCAGCGGGGAGTCTGCTTCTCCATCTCCACCTCTCCCCATCCCTTGCGCGCGCGCTCTCTCAAATAAAACCTTTTTATTTATTTTTTTGATGTAGTGATCCATGATTCATTGTTTGCGTATGACACCCAGTGCTCCATTCAATACGTGCCCTCTTTAATACCCATCACCAGGCTAACCCATCCCCCCACCCCCCTCAAATAAAATCTTAAAAATAAGTTTGGTTCAAGCTACATGCGGCCTGGGGCATCTTGATTAACAGAGATGTGGTCTGGCAAATAGGAAACGCTCAGAGGCTCAGAGGCGGCTCTGGAAGTGCCTATTCCTGGCTGTCTTTGGGGGCAGATCCGCCCTGTGAGGTCCAGGAGACCTCACTAGGTGATGCCTGAAGAGCACCCCAACTCTAGAATGTTGGCCTCTAGGGATCCTGGAGAATTCACTCGTGAGCATCTCTGGGAGTCAGGAGGAAAAAGCCTTATTCCTCTTTTTTTCCTCATGTAGCAATTTCTCAGGTCATAATTGCCTTAATTTCCCAAGCCTGTTTGGGCCTATTTTCACTGATCAGAGTAGGGTCAGTTTAAGACAGGGCAGGGCTAGCATAACTCCTCATTTACAGATGAAGCTGCTGAGATTTAGGGCTAGAAGTCTGGGCCAAGTTAATTAATTGCGAAACAGAGATGCCTCATCCAAATTGAGGCATGGCCTTGCAGCCTCAGTCTCCCAAGTCCTCAGCTTCCATGGGATCTGTGATGTCTCTGTCTCTTTATGTCTTAAAAACTTTAACAATACAGAGATCCCAACACCCAGCTGATAAATGGTAGGTGGTTCTCTTGCTTGGTGAAAGATTGGCTCTTCTGAACAGGTGAGGGTTCTATCCCATTTTTTAGTTTACTAGTGTAAAGCAGACTGTCCTTATGATTAGTATCTTTTATTGCAATATGAATTTGGTTTTTCCTTACCGTGTAGTGTAGGTCATTTACTTTTAATTCGTTATTACTTCATTAGTATGAGGAAACCCTATGCTCTTTTAATTTTAGAAGTGGAAAAAGTAGGGAATGGAACCAGAATATGATTTCAGGTCTCACACATAGAAATACCCTGTCTTCTTGTTCCCTCTCTTTATTGAATCACAGATTCCTAATAAGCATTTTGAAGTGTTCCTAGAAAATAAAAAAGTTCCAGTGACTGAAAAGCTTTCTAGATAATTGCCATTCCTTACATCGTGTAAAAGAAAATACTTTAATACTAGCTTGTGGCTTTGCCAAGTTACTTAGCTCCTGATTCTGTGTTCTCATATATACAATATGGATAAGAATATGTCCTGGCAGAGTTTGGGGGGATGATTGGAGATGATATTTGTAAAGTGCCTGGATCATAGTAGGTGCTCAATAAATAAGTGACAACAACTTTGTTTGGTTGCTGTTCTGTGTCAAGGAAGTGTCAGGATTAACTAGCTGGTTGTCTTTGAGAAAATATTAATATAGTTCCCTGCTGATCACAGCCTTGTACTCACTTCTACCCTAAACATCCAAGACTGCTCAGAAGCAAGTGTTGCTGAGGATGTGGAGATAAAGGAACCCTCTTGTGCTATTGGTGGGAATACAAACTGGTGCAGCCACTGCGGAGAACAGTATGGAGGTTCCTCAAAAAATTAAAAATAGAACTACCCTATGATCCAGTGATTGCACTAGTGGTTATTTACCCCCAAAATACAAAAACACTAATTCAAAGGGATACATGCACCCCTATGTTTATTGCAGCATTATTTACAATAGCCAAACTATGGAAGTAGCCCAAGTGTCCATCAATAGATGAATGGATAAAGAAGATGTGGTATATTGGGGCACCTGGGTGGCTCAGTGGTTAAGCATCTGCTTTGAACTCGGGTTGTGATCCCAGGGTCCTGGGATTGAGCCCTACATCGGGCTTCCTGCTCAGCGAGGGACCTGCTTCTCCCTCCCACTCCCCCTGCTTGTGTTCCCTCTCACTGTGTCTCTCTCTGTCAAATAAATAAAAATCTTAAAAAAAAAAGAAAATGTGATATATATATATACAATGGAATATTATTCAGCCATAAAAAAAGAATGAAATCTTGACATTTGCAATGACATGGATGGAGCTAGGGAGTATAATACTAAGCGAAATAAGTCCATCAGAGAAGGACAAATATCATACGATTTCACTCGTGTGGAATTTCAAGAAATAAGCAAAAGAAAAGAAAGAGAGACAAACCAAGAAACAGACTCTTGATTATAAAGAACAACTTGATGGTTTTCAGAGGAGAGGTGGGTGGGGGGAGGGGGGTAATAGGGAATGGGGATTAAAGAGTACCTTTATCATGATGAAAATGATAGGGGCGCCTGGGTGGCTCAGTCATTAAGTGTCTGCCTTCGGCTCAGGTCATTATCCCAGGGTCCTGGGATCGAGCCCCGCATTGGGCTCCTTGCTTCGCAGGAAGCCTGCTTCTCCCTCTCCCACTCCCCCTGCTTGTGTTCCCTCTCTTGCTGTAAATCTTTAAAAAAAAAAAAAAAGAAAAGAAAAGAAATTTTAAAGTTCACTTCAGAAACAAGTTAGGTGCTTGCTTGATGCATCAGGCACATGTATTATCTGAGTAAATAATAAAAGGGCTTATGTAAAATGGACCCATCTAAGGTACCCCTCCTATCTTTGAGAGGGCCAGAAGGATGGGACTTGACATCAGTTGGGACCCTGCGAAGGAAGGAGCCCTGCCCTCTCAAAGCAGCAGGGCTCTCTGAAAACCATGGTGTTCTCTGTGTCTGGACCCTGTGTTCTCTGATCCGTGGATTTGTAAGTGCTTCCTCTGTTTCAGTGCTGGTGGCAGGGGATAGAATATCAAACAAAACAACCCATCCCTGCTTTCATGGAGCCTGGAGTTTATTGAGGAAGCCGGACCCTGAGGAAATGACCATGGTGGTGAGTGTAAGATGGTGGGTGATACACAAGGTGGCAGTGGCCCTGCCTTAGGCAGAAGACACGAAGGCTTCCTGGATGCAGTGATGCCTCAGCTGGGCGTAGCCTTCTCTTAGACTCTGAAGAGGGAAGAGACACATTAAACTCAAACAACTGAGTAAGTCCACAAATGTTGGTCATGGGAGCTAAGGGGTGGGAGAGATAGGAGCTGAGACACAGAAAAAAGTCAGACCGTGGGGATTTCTGTAGGAATATAGGAGAAAAAAAAAACAATGTCTTTCCTCTACCCACCTTAAATTCTCTTGACAGGAGCCCAGTAAATTAGACTACCAAAGACAGATTACCAAGAGAAAAATAAATTTATTAAAAAGTGCATCACACATACACGAGGGAGCACCCAGTGATGAGTAACTCAAAGGAGTGGTTAGAACTTGGGCTTGTTATAGTATATTAACAAAAGAACAATGCATTTTTAGAGAAGTGACAAGACAAAGGAAAAGGACTTTGAGGGTCTAGGGTGGCAAATTGTGGGAAGGTGTGTACATGGGAGAAGTAATGGTAGACAAGGTTTGTTATGTAGGTTCCTCTGGTGCCATCTCCAGGCTGATAAGTGTCTGGAGTTTTCTCTGGTGATTAACTTCTGTCCTTCCTGGTAGAGAGGGGAGTGGGGACACCTCTGCAAAGTTATGTCTTGCTTTTAGGCAAATAAGAGGAGAGCAGAGAGTTTTTCTTATATCCGTTTCTTCTTAATTGCCTTCCACTCAAAATAATCCCTATGCCAATGTGACATATTTGGGGGTGGTATATTCTACTACTCTTCTCCAGCTTTGGTTTACTAAATTGTTAAATATTCTTCTCATTAGACCAGTTTTTTTATATATGTATATATAACTCACATACTGTAACACTTACCCCTTTAAAATATATAACTCAGGGGGCACCTGGGTGGCTCAGTTGGTTAAGTGTCTGCCTTCGGCTCAGGTCATGATCCCAGGGTCCTGGGGTCAAGCCCCACGTCAGGCTCCCTGCTCATCAGGGAGCTTGCTTCTCCCTCTGCCTGCTGCTCCCCCTGCTTGTGTTCCCTCCCTCTCTCTCTGTCTCTGTCTCTGTCAAATAAATAAAATCTTAAAAAATAAAATATATAACTCAGGGCCACCTGCCTGACTCAGTAGAGCATGCAACTCTTGATCTTAGGGTCATGAGTTCGAGCCCCACATTGGGTGTAGTTTACTTAATAAAAAAAATATTTTAAAAGTATATAATTCAGTAGTTTTAAAACATATTCACAAAGTTGAGCAACCATCCACACAAATTCCAGAGCACTTCACCACCCCAAAAGAAACCCTAGCCTTATTAGGAGTCACTCATCATCTGCCCCACCACTAATCTGCTTTCTGTCTCTATGGATTTGCCTATTCTGGACATTTCATATAAACAGAATCCAAAATGTGTGCTCATTGTGTCTGGCTTCTTTCACTTAGCATAATGTTTTTAAATTCACTAAGGTTGTAGTGTGTATCTGTACCCCCATTCCTTTTCATGGCTGAATAATACTCCTTGTGTGGCTATAAGTCACGAGACTGTTGAGAAGAAGGTGTGTATATCTATGATGGGAGCGAGTGCCTTGAGGACCAGCCTCAGTGTGAGAAGTACTGTGCTTTGTATGGCAGTTCAACTGCCTGGGTTCTCCCTTCACTGGCTCTGTGATTGGGCAAATCACTTTCTTTGTGCCTCATTTTCCTCTCATAAATGGGGATATAACAGTAGTAACTCTCATAGGGTTGGTGAATTAAATGAGTTTATACATTGAAAGGGCTTAGAAAAGTTCCTGATATAAAAGTCCAGTTGTTCCTATGAAAAAAAGTAGGCTGGCAGATGCAGAACTCCCCACTGGCTAGCACATTGCCCTTTATTCCAGAATCTTCCAAATGGCTACATGGCTACTTTATAAAACTTGGAATTACAACCAGGTCTGACTATAAAAGGAAACGAAGATAGCAGGTTCTATATCTTTTTTAGGTGAAGGGGAGCAGAATATGCCACCCTAAAATGGGCCACTTTGGCATGTAGATTATTTTGACCTGAAGGCAGTCAAGTCTCAGGAGACTCAAAAAGAACTTTTACCTCTCCCTTCAGTGTCTGAAAGAATTTAGATGGGGAGCCTGCCCAGAAAGAGTTATTACCAGAGATATATATATTTTTTTTTAATCTGAAAGACTTACCCACATGGCAGGACCAACATCTGCTTAGCAAACATCTGCTCTTCTCATCTTCCTGCAACTTGCCCTCCTCGCCTTTGAAACCCCAGCCCCATCTCTTTCCTCAGCTCAGGATGGCCTGTGAGCCTCCATTGCCTGACTGCCTTTGGGTCTCATATTTCTATGGGGCCCTCCGTACATAGAAAATAAAATTTCTTTTTCTCCTATTAATCTGTTTTATGTTTTTTTTTTAAATGTTTTATTTATTTATTCATGAAAGTCAGAGAGAGAGAGAGAGGCAGAGGCAGAGGCAGAGGGAGAAGCAGGCTCCCCACCTAGCAGGGAGCCCGATGCGGGACTCGATCCAGGACCCTGGGATCATGACCTGAGCCGAAGGCAGACACTTAACGACTGAGCCACCCAGGCGCCCAAATCTGTCTTATGTTAATTGGAGTATCAGCCTAAGAACCTAGAAAGAATGACAAATCTCCCCCTCCCCCAACAGTTTGGAGACCTGCAAAGGGACCTTCGCTGACTGGACACAGCTTCCCCCCAGGGCTATTGCAGCTGCGAGAGCCACTGACGGTTAAGAATTCTTACCAGATCAGTCACCTGGATCTCCACCTGTAGGATCCAGTGGAAGCGAGCGTGGTGAGAGTCCTCTTCCCTTTTTCTAAATTCAGATTAGCAGGAGAAAATGTTTGTGTGAAGTAGTTCCTTGAGTATGGTGACTCTGGTAAAGATCTGTTATGAGTACTCTTGCGTCTACGGATCCCTTTTCTCCCAGAGATAGTCATTGTTTCCTTTGGTCTCTGTCTTTTGTGTCCTTTGTCATGAGAAGGAGAATCATAGCCCGTATGAGCTTTTTCCTTTTGTCCTGTTCCATGTCTTGAGAGCTTGGCTTTGTGACCAGGGAGAATATTCTCACTGGCAAACGCATGTACCAGCGTGCATTGGCGTAGAGCTGAGTAGGTTCCAGACCCGAAAAGCAGCACTGCCTTTGTCCGACTGAGCCAGCCCTCAGGGGAGTTTGTCTTCAGGGGTTCCGGTCCATAAGGGGCCCTTGGTGCTGGTGAAGGAAAAGTCCCATAGTAGCACCTGACTGGTGTCACAGATGACAGGAGACCAGAGCCCCCATTTCGACTGCACCATTCTTACTGCCTGTGACACTGAAGGTCTTTGCTTTCTTAGGCTTAATTATGGGAGTGAACTTTATGGATCTTGTGAGGACTGCATCCTCTGCACCCTCTTTTGGAATGCTTCCTGAATCCCTGGTTAAACCATAAAAGGATTTAATTGGTTTGAGTCACTACTGAGATTAATATAAGATCCTGTTTGTCAATGGCCAGATGATGGATCCTCTGAATTGGCTGTATTTGAAAGAGAAAAGTTTAGAGAGCTCTCCTCTAACAATTGTCTTATTGGTATCTATGGAAAAAACAACTTTTTTTTCTTATGGAAAAAACAATTAAAAAGCGGACACAAAGGAATATAATGGCTAGCCTCAGGGACTCCCTTAGCAAGATGAAAGAACAGAAATTCGGCTTAGAGGGGCGCCTGGGTGGCTCAGTCGTTAAGGATCTGCCTTCGGCACGGGTCATGACCCCAGGGCCCTGGGATCGAGCCCCGCATCCGGCTCCCTGCTCAGCGGGAAACCTGCTTCTCCCTCTCCCACTCCCTCTGCTTGAGTTCCCTCCCTCGCTGTGTCTCTGTCAAATAAATAAATAAAATCTTAAAAAAGAAAGAAAGAAAGAAAGAAAGAAATCAGGCTTAGAACAAAAAATTAAAATCCACATTCAATGTAAATTCCCCTTCTCAAAATCCTGCCCCATCTGCCTGGTTTAGCTTCCCTTTTCCTTTGAGATTTACAGAGAGCATTCTGACTTGATCTCCAGGCCCAGGGTACTGGTTACCTGTGTAATGTTGAGGACCAGGAAGTGAATTTAGCAGAAGAATGGGAGTGGGGAGGGGGCGGGGGGTTGTGAGGGGACAGGTTGCAGGGCTCACTCTGCTGTTTCTTACAACTCCTCCTACTCTCCAGGATTCTGTAATCAGGGTCTGCTAGCCTCAGGTCTTCCTATGCAATGTCTTTTGTGGAAATATCCTGGATCCTGACCACAAAGAATTCATGCAAACAGAGACAAGCAGCAGAACTTATAAATGATAAAATCCTTTTACCTCCACTACCAGAATATCCTACCAAATTTAAAGAAGAGTTAGAAAGATCACCGGCCATTCACAACCCCACTCGCAGGAACCTTGATTAGCTGCTAAGGGGTGTTCTTTCCACCTGTAATTACACTGAAGTTAACAGACAAGCCAGATGGCTCCCTGAGGAAACCCCCCCTCAAGGAGTAAACAGATGACCAGAATTTCTCCTAGGCGCTCCTAAAAATGACGTTCAGGGACTGATAGAAGCAACAGTAAAGGTTTTTGCCCCCTAAGGTGAATTGGCCCAAGGTTGAATTGCGCACGCAGAAAGAAAGCCTTTATTAAAGTCTTATAAAGACTTTACAAGGGCATATTGCGTTAAACCCTGAAGCTCTAGAACATAGAAATCTTTTGATTTCCATCTTAGTTGGACATCTCGCTGATAAAAAAGAAGCAAATTTAAGATAATGTAGTTGGGTGAGCGGATCAGCACCTCAATATCATTTAGGCTTCAACCCAATTCTTTGAGAAATTAAAAGCAACTGTCCTGGGGCACCTGGGTGGCTCATTTGGCTCAGGTCATGATCTCAGGGTCCTGCAATCAAGCTCTGCATTGCATCAGACTCCCTGCCCAGTGGGGAGTCGGCTTCTCTTTCTCCCTCTGCCCCTCCCTCCACTTGTGCGCTCTCTTTCTCTCTCTCTCAAATAAATAAAAATCTTAAAAAAAAAAAAAAAAAAGCAACTGTCCTATTCTTACAAATCTTTGTAAAACCAGAAATACAGCTCTAGAAACAATTCAAAGTCCACCTATCTTCACCATCCTCCAAAACTCTCCTATTCATCTCAAATTGCTTGCAGGTACTGTAAAAGATTGGGATATTGGAAACAGAATTGTCCTACACTTAAGAAAAGGAGGGAAAACTGGGTCCCTCGGTGGCTCAGTCAGTTAAATGTCTGCCTTCAGCTCAGGTCATGATCCTGGAGTCCTGGGATCGAGTCCTGCATTGGGCTCCCTGCTCATCAGGAAGGTCTGCTTCTCCTTCTACCCCTCTCCCTACTCGTTTCTCTCTCTCTCCCCCATTCTCTCTTGCTCTTAAATAAATAAAATCTTTTAAAAAAAGAGGGAAAATATAAATAATTTCTCTAGATCTTTTATTTTTTATTTTTTAAATTTTTTTTATTTTGAGAGAGAGAGAATGAGAGACAGAGAGCATGAGAGAGAGGAGGGTCAGAGGGAGAAGCAGACTCCCCGCCGAGCAGGGAGCCCGATGCGGGACTCGATCCCGGGACTCCAGGATCATGACCTGAGCGGAAGGCAGTCGCTTAACCAACTGAGCCACCCAGGCGCCCCTAGATCTTTGATAAGAGGGAAATATACTCCAGACTTCTTGGAGAAAACTTGGCTGCCTTTGTGGTACAGATTTTCTTTCTTTTTTTTTTTAAAGATTTTATTTATTTATTTGAGAGAGAATGAGAGAGAGCACATGAGAGGGGGGAGGGTCAGAGGAAGAAGCAGACTCCCCGCCGAGCAGGGAGCCCGATGCGGGACTCGATCCAGGGACTCGATCCAAGGACTCCAGGATCATGACCCGAGCCGGAGGCAGTCGCTCAACCAACTGAGCCACCCAGGCGCCCTGTGGTACAGATTTTCTATTCCATCTTCTCTAGGACCTGATAACCAGCTTTTTGAGATGCAAACTTTAGAGAGAGGTTTGTTTGTTTTTGTTTTTGTTTTAAGATTTTTATTTTTTAAGCTCTACACTCAATGTGGGGCTCAAACTCATGACCCCAAGATCAAGAGTCATGTCCTCTACCAACTGAGCCAGGCAGGTGCTCCTAGGGAGAGGTTTCCTATCAAAAGGATAAAAAAGGAATTATTTGCGAATTAGGCTAATGAAATATCTTAAATGTCCTCTCCACAAATATTAGTAAAAAGCCTTAGCCATGGGGCCCGCCGGCTCAGTCAGTGGAGCATGCGACTCTTGATCTTGGGGTTGTGAGTTTGAGCCCCATGTGGGATGAAGAGATTGCTTAAAAAAAAAAAAAGCTTTACCCATCTAAGAAGGTGAACTTATTTCAACTGCCAAAACAAAATTTGGATCCAACTGTTCTTTTATAAACCAGTGCGTTTTGTAATTATCATACCTGACTCATGGTAAAATTTTAGAATGAAAGCTATACAGTTTCTGTATTTGTCTATATGTTTGTGTGTGTCTATATTTGTATGTTGCAGATGTGTAATAGTTTTCTACTTGCTGATGGTACTGCCAATATTAATTTGCAGGAGATCTATTCAACTGGTTTAAAATAAGCGCTTATATGAACTAAGTACTGCTAAACCCTCAGAAATATAATAGAAACAAATTCAAATGTTTTTCAAGTTCACATGATCTGGGAAAATATTCAGTAATATTCAGTGAAGCTAGTTTAAGTTGACTGGTTTAATTAAAATAGACACGTCTTCAGGGGTGCCTGGGTGGCTCAGTCAGTTTGAGCGGCCAACTCTTTTTTTTTTTTTTTTTTTTTGAGCAGCCAACTCTTGATTTTGGCTCAGGTCATGATCTCAGGGTCCTGGGATCTGGCTCCGAGCTAAACAGGGAGTCTGCTTGAGATTCTCTCTCTCCTTCTCCTTCTGCCCCTCTCCTTGATCGTGCTCTCTCTCTCTCAAATAAATAAATCCTTTTTTTTTTAAGATTTTATTTTATTTAGGGGCGCCTGGGTGGCTCAGATGGTTAAGCGTCTGCCTTCGGCTCAGGTCATGATCTCAGGGTCCTGGGATTGAGTCCCGCATCGGGCTTCCTGCTCCTTGGGAGCCTGCTTCTCCCTCTGCCTCTTAAAGAGAGAGAGGCAGAGGGAGAAGCAGGCTCCCAAGGAGCAGGAATGTCTCTCATGAATAAATAAATAAAATCTTTAAAAAAAAAAAGATTTTATTTTATTTATTTGACAAAGAGAGACACAGTGGGAGAGGGAACATAAGCAGGGGGAGCGGGAGAGGGGAAAGCAGGCTTCCCACAGAGCAGGGAGCCCGATGCGGGGCTCGATCCCAGGACCCTGGGACCATGACCTGAGCCGAAGGCAGACGCTTAACAACTGAGCCACCCAGGCATCCCTCAAATAAATAAATCCTTAAAAAAATAGACATGTCTTCAGAATTCTCAGCATTAAATATAATGCAGACATAGAACTTTTATTCTACCTGGGTTTAGTAGTCAAAAAAATTCATGCTGTCTCTGTTATAAAATTTGTCTGCAAGAGAAATAGCTTGGGATGATGGCTGACTCCATCTAATGTCTCTCATAAAGTTCTCGTGGGTAGTCTGAGCATAATTGTTGGGAACCCGTGACTGAGATAGATGTAATTGGAATAAGAACTTTTAGGTGAACTTTTCAGCCGTAATTATGTTTTATGGTGTGTATACTTAAAAATGCCTTCCAAAATCGGGGCACCTGGGTGGCTCAGTTGGTAGAGCGTCCAATACTTGGTTTCAGCTCAGGTCATGAGGTTAAGCCCTACGTCGGGCTCAGTGCAGAGTCTGCCTGAGATTCTCTCTCCCTCACCCTCTGCCCCTCCTGCTTGTGCTCGCTCTCTCTCTAAAATAAATAAATAAATCTTAAAAAAAAAAAAAACTTTCCAAAATCACTTGATAACTTCCACCATTAGAGTTTTACTAAGTTAAGTGATGGAAATTCATTGACTATCTAGATCATTTCCAAGTAAGATAAAATCTTGAAACATTAATTATCGAACATGGGTTTATCTACATTTTGCTTCTTATTACAGAGAAACTAAAAAGATATTTAGATGTGTTTGTACTACATTGGAAAATTATACTATAAAAAAAGCATATGCTTCTAGAAATTCTGAAATGTATTTATAAATTTGCCAGTCTAAAGAATGAAAGTATAACAATTTACATCTTAGTTTTCACTAGAAATTCAAGTTTCTAAGGATTAAGAATTCCAAAAAAATAAATGACATTAAAACTATGAGAAATAGGGGTGCCTGGCTGGTGCAGTTGGAGCATGAGACTCTTGATCTTGGGGTCATGAATTCAAGCCCCGCATTCAGTATAGAGATTATTTAAAAATCAAAAAATCTTGAAAAAAAAAAACTATGAGAAATAGTAAGGGAAACAACTCTGTATGCAAGGAAAGTGATATGTGGTTTTGGTAAGAAGAGATATGAGACATGAAGAGGCATTTGTCAAGGGAGTGTGAGCATGAGCAGGGGGAGGGGGAGAGGAGGAGGGGGAAGCAGACTCCTTACTGAGCAGTGAGCCTGATGTGGGGCTCAACCTCAGGACCCTGGGATCATGACCTGAGCCAAAGGCAGACGCTTAACGACTGAGCCACCCAGGCGCCCCTAAAATAAAATCTTAAAAAAAAATTTTTTTATTTTTAAGTAATCTCTACACCCGACAGGGAGCTCAAACAGCCCCAAGATCAAGAGTCTCACTCTCCACCAACTGAGCCAGCCAGGCACCCTACATAGTCTTCTCCTTTTTTGACCCTTCTGATTTGGAATCATTGAGAACTAAAACTGTTCTTTCCCTAAAGCCATGCAAGCAAGCTAAAGCTGGACAATTTGATATAAACTTCAAAGAAATCACCGCAACAGCTCATATACGGGCAATCTTTATGCCTCCATACCACTTAGAAAGATCACCAGAGACATTCAAACTGCCAACCGTAAAAATCTATCAGGTTGCCACTGCCCTTTCTCACTCCATCTGAAGAGGATTGGAGCCAGATATCTAGAAATCTTCTCAACTAGCTGCCTTCAGAAGTCAGAAAGTGGGAGTATAATTTTCTCCATCATTAACCATTATTTTTCTTTTGTTTCCATAGAAATGCCTCTTATTACATATCTGATTGCTCGCACAATAGACCTAACTTTGGGAGTCCCCCTGCATTCCCACCTCCTAAAATGAGACACAGCTGTTTAATTGAACTGGCCTACTCTCCAGACTAAGAGACTGGTTCAGTGAGATAGGGCGATTTACCAACGCAACTTATGAACTGTGAAGTTTCTTGGGCAAGTTTCAAAGATGGGACTGAAGGGAACAGAATATGCCACCCCAAAATATGCCACTTTGGCATGTAGATTATTTTGACCTGAAGGCAGTCAAGTCTCAGCAGACTCAAAAAAAACTTTGACCTCTCCCTTCATTGCCTAAAAGAAATTCAGATGGGGAGCCTGGCCCAGAAAGAGAGTTATTACCAGAGATAATTTTTTTTTTTTTTTAATCTGAAAGACTTACCCACATGGCAGGGCCAACATCTGCTTAGCAAACATCTGCTCTTCTCATCTTCCTGCAACTTGCCCTCCTCGCCTTTGAAACCCCAGCCCCATCTCTTTCCTCAGCTCAGGATGGCCTGTGAGCCTCCATTGCCTGACTGCCTTTGGGTCTCATGTTTTTATGGGACTTCTGTACCTACAAAATTAAATTTATTTATTTTTTCCTGTTTCTCTGTCTTATGTCAATTTACTTATTAGACTAGCCAAAGAACTTAGAAGGGTAGAAGGAAAGTGGTTCTGCCCTCACATTGGCATTTAGGATTTTGTAGTTGTGCAGACTTTCAAACTTGTTGTTAGTGATAATGAACTAAGGGACATTTTCCTATATATGTACTTCTAAGGTCCATCTACCTTGAGACAAACTGCTTTATTTATTTATTTTTTAAGACTGTATTTTATTTTTTTTAAGTGATCGCTACACCCACGTGGGGCTTGATCTTACAACCCTGAGATGAAGTTGCAGGCTGTACTGAGCCAACCAGGTGCCCCAGAGAAGGAACTGCTTTATTTCCAATTAATTAATTAATTAATTAATTAGAGAGAGTGTGTGCGAGTGTGGGGGTGCAAGTATGCTGGCAGAGGAAGAAGGAGAGTCTTTTTTTTTTTTTTACGATTTCATTTATTTGATGAGAGAGAGACAGAGAGAGACAGAACACAAGCAGGGGGAGTGGGAGAGGGAGCAGCAGGCCTCCTGCTGAGCAGGGAGCCCGATGTGGGGCTCGATCCCAGGACCCTGGGATCGTGACCTGAGCCGAAGGCAGACCCTTAACGACTGAGCCACCCAGGCGCCCCAGGAGAGAGAGTCTTAAGCAGACTCTGAGCTGAGCTTGGAGCCTGACCCGGGGCGATGGGGAGGGGGTGGGGATGGCTTGATTGCATGCTGACCCTGACATCACGACCCAAGCCAAAACCAAGAGTTGAATGCCTAACCGACTGAGCTACCCAGGCACTAAATTTTTAAAAACTTATGAATTTTCAACATACAAAAAAGTAGAAAAATATGATTTCTTATGTACGTTCAACAACATTTATTCCCATTTTTAAATTCTTGACAGATGGTCTTTGTTCCACAACTGGATGAGGGCGGCACACCCAACAGGTAGGAACCATCTTGCAAGGATCTGGGGAAACTGGTTTCATGGGCAGGTTGAGAAATGTCTGCTTGCCTAGGCAGCTAGGACACTTTGTGGAAGGTAAGGGTGAGGAGGGAGGGCTGTGCTCCACCCCCGTTCCCCCCCTGGCCACTCCGTGGGGCTTGGTGTGGGATGAGAAGGCTTGCTCTGGGAAGCTGACACTTGATGAAGTTGTCTCCGACATAGTGACACCAATGTTCATCAAGAGTAAGGCATGCGGTGCTCAAGCTCATACTTATGGCCCCAGGGATTGTCTGGCAACCAAATCTGAATGGACATGGACAGTCTGTGGATCCAAAGGTGCAAGTTCAGGAGGGTAGAGGGCCTCTAGGTCAAGTACTCCAGACCCTCCCTACTCAGGTGAGGCTGTGGGCCGGGGAGCTGGTTAGAAATGCAGAGTCCTGGGCCCCACCCCAGAGCCACTGCTCTAAAGTGCTCAAAGTGTGGCCTGTTGGGGGGAAGATTACCCCAAATTTGGAATCTCAGCAATTCTGGGTTGGCAAGCAGCTGGTCCAGCCCATACCAGAAAATGCATAGGTTCCTTTGGCAAGACCCTGGAGAAAGAGTCTCCAGATAGTCCAGCATCACCTCCATTCAGGCAGTTCACCAGCTAGGCAACACCTCTTTCAGTCTTTGGTAAATCACTGTTGGAAGGGGGGGCTGTGGGCATGGCAAGGGGAACCTTCTTTTTTTTTTTTTTTTTAAAGATTTTATTTATTTATTTGAGAGAGAGAGAGAGAGAGAGCACATGAGACGGGGGAGGGTCAGAGGGAGAAGCAGACTCCCTGCTGAGCAGGGAGCCCGACGCGGGACTCGATCCCGGGACTCCAGGATCATGACCTGAGCCGAAGGCAGTCGCTTAACTAACTGAGCCACCCAGGCGCCCCAAGGGGAATCTTCTTAACTGAAGACCCTGCTGAGAATATCCCCTTGCTGTTGCCCTGTTGGAAATTCCAAGCCCTCTAGCTAAATTTTAAGGGAAACTTTTCCTGTGTTAATTACAAGCCCATTTTCAGCCCGTGTTAAATGGGCCGACTAGTATTTGAAAAAAAGAAAGTATTTGAAAAAGACTTTTTCTTACTTGATACATTTTTTTTTAAAGTCCAATGGCAGTACATGCTTGTCATTAAATGTTTTTGCAAAAAGACTGACACCTATACAAATAAAATTCAGAAGCCTGTGTCTCATCTCTCCCTGCTCCTGCAACCCCCAATGTACTGTTAGCAATTTGCTGTGCATCCTTGCAGATCTATTTCTTTGCATTTAAAAACACTACACACACACACACACACACACACCTTTCCTGTAATCTTTTTACCTTAATCTCTTTCTCAGCCTTTTGCACTTCCTTCTTTTTTTTTAGGGTATAAACATTTATTACATGTACAGAATATGACCTCAAACGAATGCAGATAGGCTAGGACACAATGATACTGGATGGAAGATGGCGAGCTCTTTGGAAAGTGGACAGGTTTGGGTGGCACAATCAGTTAAGCGTCTGACTCTTGGTTTCGGCTCGGGTTGTGATCGCAGGTCGTGGGATCGAGCCTCAGGTTGGGTTCTGTGCTCAGCACAGAGTCTGCTTGGGTTTCTCTCTCCCTCTACCCCTCCCCATGCCTTTGCACTCTCTCTCTCAAATAAGTAAATAAATTTTTAATAATCTCTATGTGTGTAACTCATTAATCCTCAGAGTCACCTCATGAGGTACTATTATTATCCCCATTTTACAGAGGAGGAAACAGATATAGAGAGGTGGAGATGCTTGTCCAAGTTCCCCCAGTTAGTGATCAGCTAAGCCAGGGTTTGAACCCAAGCAGCCTGGTTCCCAAGTCTGTGCTCAGGACACCCTGCTGTATTCATGGAGATGCATAAATCTTGGACAGTACCCCCCTCATGTGGCCTTTCCACCTTAGGGCTCCCAGGTGCTGGGGTGGGGACAACTTCTCTGTGCAGGTCCGCCTGCCCTACCCCTCCTGTCCTGCCTGTTCCACACTGGAGCTTGGTGAACTTAGATGATGTTTTCTAGATTGTGTAGAATGGGGTAATAGCACTTATCTCCTTGGGTTCTTAGGAGGATTATATGATGGGATGCACATAAAATATCGGTGAATGTTGGCCATTGATTTCGTTATTATACATATGAGTTCAAGGGTGGGGGAAGTGGCAGGGGAGGGGACTCACCAGTTGAGTAGAGACCTCAGGGAGAGAAGGGTAGGTATGTTAGATTCCTGTTTGTTTGTTTTTAAGACTTTATTTATTTGACAGAGAGAGCGAGCACAAGCAGGGAGAGCAGCAGAGGGAGAGGGAGAAGCAGCCTCCCTCTGAGCAGGGAGCCCGATGCAGGGCTCAATCCCAGGACCCTGGGATCACGACCGGAGTTGAAAGCAGACACCCAGCCGACTGAGCCACCCAGGTGCCCCAGTATGTTAAATTCCTACCCAGAGTGGGATAAGGAAAAAGGAGTGACGGGGTAGAAATCTTCCAGATCTTTACTTGGACCTCAGAATACTCATAGACCCTAGACCTCTTTATGAAGATCAAGGTGAGGGATGAAAGCTGTGGATGGTCGGTTCTTGTTCTATTTCATTCCAGTGCTCAGCAGTGTCCTGTCAACAATGTGTATGGCGGACACCCCAAGTAGATCACTGCAGGCCGTTACCTAGACCCTAGTGCCTGTGTCCTGGCCTCTAGCACTTCAGGGCCTGGGCCCACTGGCTGGGCTGGCCCCAGGCAGCAGAGCCCCATCGCATCAGGATTGCCCCCAACTACCAGCAGCCTCCTACGGCGTGGGCCACATCCAGTCATCTCTATCCCTGCTGCCCCCGCTCCAGGGCTCCGTCATCGTAGCACAATAATAGAGGCTGATTTTATGAATATTCTCTGTAGCCTTGCATACAGAGGCAAATGCCTGTCAGGCAGAAAAGAAGCATTAAATTTTGAGGGTGCCTGGGTGGCTCAGTCGTTGGGCGTCTGCATTCAGCTCAGGTCATGGTCCCAGAGTCCTGGGATCGAGCCCCGCATCGGGCTCCCTGCTCAGCGGGAAGCCTGCCTCTCCGTCTCCCACTCCCCCTGCTTGTGTTCCCTCTCTCACTGTCTCTCTCTCTCTGTCAAATAAATAAATAAAATCTTAAAAAAAAAAAAACACTAAATTTTGAGACTGCAACTCTTTAAGCCCAGAATCCCAGGACCTGCCTCCAGTTCAAACCCACATTGGCCATTTCATTCATTCATTCATTCATTCATTTATATTTTTTTGACAGATAGAGCCAAAGAACACAAGCAGGGCGGGAGGGAGACACAAGCAGAGGGAGAGGGAGAAGCAGACCCCCCGCTGAACAGGGAGCCAGACTCGGACTCAGGGCGGGACTCGATCCCAGAACCCCGGGATCATGACCTGAACCGAAGGCAGTTGCTTAACCACCTGAGCCACCCAGGCGCCCCTCACATTGGCCATTTTAGACTTTAGATGAGTCTTAGGTAGGGTGGCCAAATAATGTTTTGTCCATACTAGTGCTCTTCTTTGGTTTGCTAATAAATGTTTTTGGTGAGTTTTCCTGGAAAAAATTCCAAACTTACGGAAAAGTTGCAAGAATACAAATAATACAAGGATACTCCTATATCTTTTATTCAGAGTCACCTATTTCAACATTTTCCCTATTTACTTTCAACCTCTCTCTCTCTCTCTCTCTAAGTATATACACACTTGTATACATACATATACCTGTTCATGTATACATATGTGTACATACATACCTTTTCTTTTTTAAAGATTTATTTTATTTTAATTTTAGTATTATTTTTTAATTTTTTTTCTTAAGATTTTTTATTTATTTGACGCAGAGAGAGAGAGGAAGCAAGTGAGCCCGAGCAGGGAAGTGACAGGCAGAGGGGGGAGGGAAAAGCAGGCTTCCCGCCGAGCAGGGAGCCCGATGCGGGGCTCGATCCCAGGACCCTGGGATCATGACCTGAGCCGAAGGCAGGCGCTTAACGACTGAGCCACCCAGGAGCCCTTATTTTTTTATTTTAGAGAGAGAGGGTGTGTGTGCGTGTTTGAGCTGGGGGAGGAGGAGGGGGGGAGAACCTCGAGCAGACAGACTTCCTGCTGAGCGCAGGACCCCAACTCAGAGCTCAGTCCTACCACCCCGAGATCACATTCTGAGCCCAAACCAAGAGTTGGTCGCTCAACCGACTGAGTCACCCAGGTGTGCCTATACAGACTTTTTCCTGAAACATTTGAAAGTTAGTTGCATATACTGTGGCCCCTTACTCCTATTTATTTCCTAAGAATAACAAAGCTATCCTACATAACCATAATTTTTTTTATCAATTCACTAAATATAACTTTGACATAACATTTGTATTTGCTCTGTTTATATTTCAACTTAATCAATTGATCCAAAGTCTTTTTGTTTGTTTGTTTTTTTAAGAGAGAAAGAACACGAGGCAGGGGAGGGCAAAGGGAGAGGGAGAGAGATAATTCCAAGCAGGTTCCTTGCTCCAAGCTGGACACAGGGCTGGATCTCACCACCCATGAGATCATGACCTGAGGTGAAATCAAGAGTCAGAATCGGACGCCCAACCGACTGAGCCACCCAGGCTCCTCTGTGTTCTCTTTTTAATAAGACTCAGAGTATCTGTTAGGATTGAAGCATTAACAGGGGGAAGGGCTCCCCCCGACTTCCTCCCTGTTGGCCATTATCGAGGTGAAGTGAACTACTTTCCAAAGGGAGGAGGCTCCGGAGAAGCGGTTCTTGACTTCCAGGTGCTCAGGCATGGTCTCCCCAGGAGTGAACTGGGGAGGCGTTTGAGGGCTGATGGAGATATGAGAGGGAGAGGAGCCCTGATCGGTCTTCCCAGGCGGGCCCCAAATTTCACTGGTTACCAGAGGGCCTGGAGGCATTGGGTGGACCATCCACTCCTGTCAACGTCACACCTGCTTCCAGCTGGGGCAGAGTGTCCTGGCCGA